CTTCCTCCCCTTCTTCTCTCTTTTCCCTTTCCCTCCTTCCCTTTCTTTCCTTCTCCCCCTCCTTCCCTCCCCTCTATCCCTTCCAGTGGTTGGTGCAAGAAGGAATATACCATGAGCTGGCCTAAAAGCCTGAGCCTAGTAGACCTGCTGGGGAGGCTGCCCTAAGACACTAACCCTGAGAAATTGGCCTTTGATTCAGACTTTCAGTAAATACTCAAGAATGTGCTGATAGGCCTCCAGAACAGTTGGCAGAGGCTAGGCAGGTACAGAGAACCCCCAGGAGATCAGTGGGTGAGGAGGACTCCAAGAGCTTCTCAGACAGTGCCACTGACGAGAGGGCTCTGAGTTCTGTAATTGAAAGACCAGTGTAAACAATAACAGGCAAGACAGACTGGAGAAAAAATATCTGCAGTGATATATCCAACGATTCCAGAGTATGCAAACCTCCTCCCTCCAGGAAAAAAAGCTAAATATCAACCCAACAGAAGAAGTGGGCAAAAGATGCATAGAAGTAGCTGCACCATTTTGCATTCTCACTAACAATGTAAAAAGGCTCAGATTTCTTCATCCTCACCAATACTGTGTTTATCTTTTTTATTATCGCTGTTCTGGTTTATCAGAAATTTCCCTAATAACTAATGAAGTTGAGCATCTTATTGGCCATTTGTATATCATCTTTAGAATAATGTTTATTCAGAGTTTTCGCCCAGTTTTAAATTGCATTGTCTTTTTATTATTGACCTATAAGAGTTCTTTATGAATCCTAGATAGAAGTCCCTAATTGAATATATAATTTGCAATATTTTCTTCCATTCTTTTTTCTTTCTTGATAGTATCTTTTGAAATATAAAAGTTTAAAATTTTGTAAATTCAGTGTGTTTTATCTCATGCTTACGGTGTTGTATCTAAGAAATCAGTACCTTAACTAACCCAGGATCACAAAGGTTTACTCTCCTTACGTCCGTATCACTGTTTGATTACTGTAGCTTTGTAGTAAGTTTTGAAATGGGGAAGTCTGTCCTCCAACTTTGTTCTTATTTTCTAGGTTATTATGACTATTCTGGGTTTCTGGCATTTCCATATGAATTTTAGGATTAGCTTGTCAATTTTGGCAACATCAATAAAAAAAGATTGCATTGAAGCTATAGCCCAATTTGGGATGTATTGCCATGTAAGGATTTATGAACCCGGAATGTTTTTCTAATTTTTTAGTTCTTTACTTTCTTTTAGCAATGTTTTATAGTTTGCAGTGTACACACCTTGTACTTATTTTGTTATATTTACTATACAGAGTATTTTATTTTTCTTAAAATGGAATTATCATCTTAATTTCATTTTCTGATTGCTCGTTGCTAATATGTAGGAATATAACTAATTTTTGGCAGATTTTTTTTTTTTTAAATATATCTTTATTGATCTCAGAGAGAGGAAAGGAGAGGGAGAGAGAGAGATAGAAACATCAATGATGAGAGAGTCATTGATTGAGCCCGCAACCTGGGCATGTGCCCTGACCGGGAATCGAACCCTGATCGCCTGGATCCTAGGTCGACGCTCAACCGCTGAGCCAAGCCCAGCCGGGCTAATTAAGTTTTGTATGTTGATCTTGTGTCACGCAACCTTGCTGAAATTATTATTTCTGTTAGTTTTTGTAAAATTTATTAATTTTTATTATTTTTAATTTATCTTTGCTGTTGAAAGTATTACAGATGCCCTTTTCTGTTAGTTTTTTAGTGTATTTCTTTCTTTTTTTTTTTTAATATATCTTTATATTTTTTTAATATATCAGAGAGAGGAAAGGAGAGGGAGAGAGACAGAAACATCAATGATGAGAGAGTCATCGATCAAGCCCACAACCGGGCATGTGCCCTGACCAGGAATCGAACCTTGATTGCCTGAATCCCAGGTCGACGCTCAACCACTGAGCCATGGCCGGCCGGGCTAGTGTATTTCTTAGGGTTTTCTACGTACAGGGTCATGTTGTCTGCTAAGAGAGACAGTTTACTTTTCCAATCTGGATACCCTTTTTAAAATTTATTTTTGGGGGCTTACTAGCATGACTAGAAACTCTAATACAATGTTGAATAAAAGTGGTGGGAGTGGACATCATTGTCTTGTTCCTAATCTTAGTGGGAAAGAATTCAGTCTTTCTCCATTAAGTTTGATGTTGACTTAAAATTTTTTGTACATGCCCTTTATCAGGTGGAGAGATTTTTCTTCTATTTCTAGCTTCTTGAGGGTTTTTGTCATGAATGGGTGCTAGATTTTATCAAATGTCTTTTTTGTATCTATTGCGATGATGATGTGGGTTTTGTTCTTTCATGTGTTAATACTACCTATTATGTTAATTCAGTTAAGGATATTAAACCAGCCTTGCATTTTTGGAATAAAGCCATTTGCTCATGTTGTATAATGGTTGCTGGGTTCAGTTTGCTAGTTGGGAACTTGTGTCTATTCATGAGGGATATAGTTCTGTTCTATAGTTTTCTTTCTTGTGATGACTGGCTTTGGTATCAGGCTAGTATTAGCTTCATAGAGTGGGTTGGGAGGTATTCCCTCCTTTTCTATTTAATGAGAGTTTGCAAAGGATAGGCATAAATTCTTTAAGTGTTGATAGAATTCATCAGTGGACTTTTCTTTGTGGGAAGATCTTTGATTATTAATTTAATCTCGTCATTAATAATAGGCCTATTCAGATTTTCTGTTTCTGCTCAAGTCAGTTTTGATAATGGAAGGCTGATGATGGGATTTGAGCATCAGTGGATATTAAAGGAGGACTAGAGATATGGTTACTTATCTTCACAGGAACAACATGTATATTGCACACATCTAAAGTAATTTTGGTGCAGTCCTAACGGATGTGGTCATTTTTCAGTTCTTCAGCTGCAGTCTGTGTAGAACAACAAATACCTATGGGCAGGCAGGGAACAGGTGGTAAGCAGACAGGTACAAGGCTGTGGAAAGTTCCTGAGGGAGTAAAAACTGTATCATGCTGATCAAGCGAGAAAGGTCTGCAAAATTTGCTAAAAGAGTAAATCTTAAATATTCTCATACTCACACAAAAAATGGTAATTATGCGATGTGATCCAGGTTATAGCTAATGCTATGGTGGTAATCATTTGGTAATATATAAGTGTATCAAATCAGCATATGGTACACCTTAGGCTTACACAGTGTTATATGTCACTTATATCTCAATAAAACTGTTTACTGTGGGGCAGGCTGTGTGCTATGGGATGCCCCCTCGAAGTCTGCAGGGCACAGCTGCACAGCTGTACTGAGCAGTCCTGAGAGGTCCAGACTTCCTAGTTGTAAAGTCTTGTATGCATCAAGGATCTTACTAGTTCCACTTATGGAAATGTTTATATATAAAGATGATTACTTTTCTGAAAATGAAAAATTGAAAGCAAACTAAATATCAGAGTGTAAGGGAATGGTTAAATAACTGTTATGCTTCATAGAAATCATTATGCCATTTAAAGTTTTGTCTATGATAGATGAAATAATGTAAAATAATTATGATATAAGTTTTAAAATCAAAAGTGAATATTACAATGGACAGAACTGTGTAAAACTGTATTTTAAAAATTCTGGTGGAATTATATATGCTTTTCCTGCCTTATATTTTTCAAATTTAACTACCATAAGCATATATTATTTTTACAATGAATAGCAACAAAAATTGCTGTTTTAATGGCTGTGGACTTTCTTGTGGTGTTATATTTCTGATTTTCATGCACTAGCTCTTTTTTGATATTTTAATTTTTCCAAACTAGTTTTCAGTGGGCCAATTTTGATGATTTAGTGGCAGTAAGGAACTTTGATAGTTGCAAATAAATCTTCTGGAACTTACTCCACCCAGTTGTACAATGGGATAAAAAGATTTTTTTTCTTTTCTTTCAGCATGCCAGTGCAATGGCCACAGCAAATGCATTAATCAGAGTATCTGTGAGAAGTGTGAGAACCTGACCACGGGCAAACATTGTGACACCTGCATATCTGGCTTCTATGGTGATCCCACCAATGGGGGGAAATGTCAGTGTAAGTCAAATCCTCCATCAGGGTTACTGACTGCAACCCAGGTGTAACACAGTGCTTCTTTTTGACTTGAATATCTAAGGATAGAAGCCACTTGGTTTTGAATATTGCATTTCTTAAGTCAGACTTGTCAACAGCTCAGCTAAGTCTGGGAGAAAGTGAGTTGAGCTGCCAAGTGTCAGAGTAGCCAGTTAAAGCAACAAACCAAAAATGAAAGAATTAAACTTTTAATCACTTGCTGCGATGGTATAAGAAAAAGGCTTAAAGTGGAGAAAGCACTGATTCCCCTTGTTCCATGTGCCCTCCTGGAATGGCACACTGGTTGAGCATCACGTGGATAAGCACAGAGGTGGGGGTCTTCTCACTGTTGAGGGAGCCCAGATAAAAGGCTCAGCAAAAGCTTCTTATGGACCCTGGAGTGGGAGGGAGGGTGAAGGGGAAGGACTGGGCATGGGAAAGCACTGGGGGCTGAGAGTGGGGAAAGTGTCTTCAAGGTTTTCCCCTCTTCCCCTAAAAGGAAGCTCAGCAGAGGCCTGAAGATAACTTCTGCCCAAGGCCTCACTCAGATAAAGAGACCTAGGAATGAAGGCATATGAAGTTGGAATGCAAATATGTGAAAGAGGTGGCTAACGGAGGGGTTTCTGACACCTTGGCTGCAACTTCTCTGAGACTTCCACCCAGGCTGGCGTGGGGAGGGCAGCTTTCCCTGTAAGGCCTACAGGGAAAGCTGTGGTTGGAACAAAATCACACGTAGGTTTATAACCAGAAACCGGACTCCTCAGTACTTCTAGCATATTTTAAATATTTAAATAGTCCCATGTTTTCTATACATGTCAAATAGATTCCTGTAAGCAATAGGATATTTTATTGTTAGAACGTAAATTGTGTTTTATAAATGACCAGTGATATCAATGAACCGATCTTTATCTTTGGTTTGTTCTAGTTTCCAATGGGAAGGACCCTTAAGGGTTTTTTATGTATATAATTTTTAAAAAATTAAATTTATTGGGGTTACAGTGGTTAATATAAACATAGGTTTCAGGTGTGGGTTTCTATATTACAAGATCTGTATATTGCTCTGTGTGCCTACCACCCAAAGTCATATCTTCTCCCATTACCACCCTTCAGGTTCGGAGCAGGAAAATAAATAAGAAAATAAAATCTTTAGCTCCTCCCCAAATTCTGCCTCCAAGCTCCGTAGCATGGCCCTTGAGAAAGGTCTGATCTCAGAGCAGCCAGGAGAGAACTGTGTTCCAGCGGTATATCCCTTAACTTCTCTGGGGTTTAGTTTCCTTATCTGGAAAATGGGGATATTAGGGTGGTGGTTGAAGTGAAAGCAGTCAGAGGAGTGCATGACACATAGTAGATACGAGCAATTACTATTACTCTTGTGATGTCATTCCTGCCACTCTTAAATAAAATTTCTTGCTGAGATGAAAAGATATTCAGTAAAAATATTTTTCCACTTCTGTGAATAGGCACCATCCATTTGACAGTAATCAGAGTACCTAACCTTACTGATAATTGTCTACAAGGCATTGTGCTCGCACCCACCCGAGACATAGGTGCTTTTATTATCTTCATGATCAAGGAACCTGCCTAACTTCTCACTGCGAGATGTGGCCATGTTGGGAACCACATCTAGGGTGTGTGGCTTTAATTACTGGGCCTGGTTGTGCCTCCAAGTGCCTACTGACAGCCAAGTCAGCTGGGTCTGTGCCTTGTTGTCTTTATCCCCATATCTGCATCTGCCATCTGCCGTCCCACTCGGTAACAGGGACCTGAGTACTATTGTCCAGAACTTAGAACTAACATAATTTTTTTAGAGTATCCACAATAGAAAGCATTTTAAAATACTGTCAGTGGCACCAGGTCTTTTATGTTTTCCTCTGAGAATTGTATAGTCCTTAAGGATAATAGCCATGATTTATTGAATGCTTACTGCGTTTCATTCATGTATTATCTCATTTAATTCTCACAATAACCCTATGAGATAGGTACTGTTATTTTCCCCATCATGTAGATGAGGAAACAGAGACTTAGAGGAGTTAAATAGCATGCCCAAAGTTACAAAGGAGCTAAGTAGAGGGGACTGAATTCAAACCCAGACAATCTGACTTCAGGCCTTTGCTTTTTATTAATACACTGCACCCTGTCTCCATACTCAGCTGAGCCAAGAGTTGAACACTCATGTTTCTGAATGTTCATCTAGTCTCTTAACTGCTTTACTATTCTGTTTCATATGTTTCTTTAGGTGATTTTTTTTTCTCTGCAAGATTTATTTTAAAAGTACACCTATCTCCAGCCTAATATCTTTTTTTTTTTTTTTTTAATGTATCTTTATTGATTTCAGAGAGAGGAAAGGAGAGGGAGAGAGAGAGATAGAAACATCAATGATGAGAGAGTCATTGATCAGCTGCTTCCTGCACGCCCCCAACTGGGGATTGAGCCCACAACCCAGGCATGTGCCCTGACCAGGAATCGAACCCTGATCGCCTGGATCCTAGGTCGACGCTCAGCCGCTGAGCCACACCCGGCGGGCCTAATATCTTTAATTTATTCTCAGAAAAACAGAGTGTAAAGTGAAAAGGAATTGGGCAAAAAGACTTATTTCACCTAGAGCATAAAATTCATTATAGCTCATATTTACGTGCTCGATTAAAAGAGGTAGAGAGGTATTGATGGGTAGAGGAGGGAGATAACAGGATTGTTTTCTATGGAGGCTAAGAAGAAGGCAAGGAAGGGTGGTGAGTCCTGAACAGCCTCTGAAATGCTGACCTGCCATTGGAATCCCACCCCACTTCTGAGCCCTGGTGTGATTTGAAACGTGACCTTTGTGGAGAAGGCACCTGAGCTGAGGCAGAGTGCAGACCAACTCTCCCCTTGGGTAATGATGACTCAGAACATCTCCATGGGGGCAAGGACTGTGCATGTGTCCCCATACCAAGTGACTGGAGATACTTCATAAATGTTTATTCAGTGAACGAATTGTAATAGTGAAAAACAATCTGTTGAAAAAGATAAAAATTGTGATTGCTTCAGATGGCGGTGGAAATGACATTCTTTCCACCTGTCCTTTGACTTTGGTTGCTTTAATGTTACCTTTACATTATTTGAGATAAATCATTAGCTGAAAAACAAGAATCTTACCCATTAAATGCTTTTAATCTTTCATATCAAATCCATTCAGATAAAATTACTTATTTTAGAAAATGTCTCTTATAGTAATAATCTTTTAAGCCATTTGTGACCAACATTCCTTTTCCTCCTTCCAGCATGTAAGTGTAATGGGCATGCATCACTGTGCAATACCAACTCGGGCAAGTGCTTCTGCACCACCAAGGGCGTCAAGGGGGACGAGTGCCAGCTGTGAGTACCACCCTCCCCGGACCCCTGCCCAGGCCACGCCTGGCTTTAGTGACTGACAGCCAGGTCAGCTGGGTCTGTGCCTTGTTGCCATGGGCTCTAAGGGATCCCCGAGTTGATCGATTTGGAATTTTGCCCTTCCCACTTCAGACAGGTCTAGCTTGGTCAGCTTCCATACTGAGTGGTTGTCAATTTAGCGGTAATTTCTTAATGACTCTTCAATTCACATTTTTGTTTGAATGACACTGACATTCCCTGGGTTGCTGACTTGGATTAGTCATTTAACTTCAGCCACTACTTGATTTTTGTCATATCAGAAGACTACACCCTTTTCTGAATGATAGAGTTGGAAGAGCTGGTATTCCAGGGCAGTATTTTATTTGGCATTTTGGTTGTCTGATAATGGAGATGATCCTCGCTGACCTTTAACACAGTCCTCCCTGTGCTAGCATTTTCCTTGATGAAGTATATGAGACATCTTCCAGGGGAGAGTTGGATCCCCATCCATGAAGATGCAGGCAAATGTGGGGTTTCAGCCCTGGCTTAGCCTCCGTTGAGCAGGGCCCTCTTGAGGTGAATCACTTCACTATGCTGAACCTCAGTTTCCACATCTTTCAGTAGGGACTTGCAGTAATTGTTTTTAATGTCCTGGGATGTCAAAAGACGAGAGATTGTTCGCCAATTGATACACTCCTGTTGCCTCACCAGAAAACCTCATGAAACACTGCTCCAGGTTTACTCATTTTCTCAAGAAGGGACTTAGAAATGTTTAGTACTATCAAAGTACTGAGCTGATACAAGCAGATGTGTCGTTGGAAACTTTGTTTTGCTTAAAGAACACCATAAATGTCACCAGTGATTGAGGTCTTGATGGTAGTGTCTAGGAGGGAAATGGTCTGTCTACATTTTGTGGTTTGTACAAGTGTTTACATTCACTGGTTTTATGCTGCCCTAAAGCCAGTACATGAGGAAAAGTCTAATCAAAAATCAAATTTAATTTTTGAATCTCGGTTTCTTTAGACAGAAAAATGTAATAGAGCAAAATTAATCATTCCTGTCCTCAGTTTTGGTATACAGCAAAGAAATGAGAAATAGCTCCAGTCTTTTTAAGAGATTAGGTATAAGCAAGTACTGTTAATCACCCTGGATAAAAGGACACGTATCCCTGTGTTATTTTTCTGGAAAAAGTGCTTGACCCAAGCTTTCCCCTTCTTTTTCCATAGTTCTTAGTGTTGTGGCTGCCTGGTGTTCATAGATGATACCTATGAGAAAATTAATAATTCTTTTTGACTAGAACTTATTTTTTCTCCAGACTGGTGAACCGTGTCCACGGTTTAAAAAAAGATTATTTGTGTTTAGCCTTCTCTCATTTGTATTTAAAGAATAAGATCAGTTTATCCAGGGAAAACAGGGAAGAGTTGAAAAATGAATATATGAAAAATGTTTTAACTGCACTTTTAGAAGAATATTTAGTTCACACAAAAGTGAAAATGTGTTTTTCATGATTATAAGTAGGATCTAGATTTATTATATTTGGATTTATCTCATGTGCTTTGCCAAATGTTCCTCAGTTAGTAGTGGTGTGAACTGCTGGGCAGTCAGCATTGAAAATGAATGCATGCTCTTTCTAGTTCACCTGATTTGAGTAACAGCGAAGAGTGCAATTGTACTGACTCAAAGCTGTAGTTTATGTTAAAGAATCTACTTGATTTTAAAATGAATATAGATTCTCTGTAGAAAATAATCTTCATTTTCTTCCCCCCTAGATGTGAGGTAGAAAATCGATACCAGGGAAACCCTCTCAAAGGAACGTGTTATTGTAAGTGTTTTTGTAATTCTTATCTTTCTAGAAGCAAAGTTGTTCAGTACAGCTTCATTATTGTCTTTAACATTGTTCAGGAATGGTAAGTGCTATAGGAATATAGCAACAGCCCATGGAAGTGTCCCCTTATTTGATGTTTTTGCATTCTGTTAAGTTTAATACATATGTGAACACATTTTTAAACTGCGTTGTGGTTGTGGTTTATGTTGGTATGTCCATAGCAGATATCAGGGAAGAGTACAGAGATACACATCTCTGGTTTCCTTGCTTCTGTTCTCTTGAAACCTTATTTCATTTGCCATTACCTGGTTGGGCTCACTGTATTTCTTATTTTAGAATATAGATAAAAAAAATAATTCTTAAAATATAGTTAAAGTTAACATTCTCTCTGAATCTGATTTGGGTTAACCATCACTTTAGGAACTAATATAGAAAATAAAATCTCTAATGATTAATATATAATGAAAGGTAAATCTGGCAAAGTGACCAGTTCCTTATGGGTAAATGTTTTCTTCCAGTAGGAGAACTCACATAGAGTCCAGATTATGGAACTAAAGAAAAAGGAGTTCATGTTTGGCATACCCACTATAATTATATACCTCTTTCCTGGGTTGAATAGTAGTGTCCCCTCAAAATTCATGTCCATTTGAATCCTGTAAATGTGAAAATATATATATATCCCCCCC